GAAGCACGGGCTACGAGAGTCTATCGAGGAGATCGCGGCAGAGACGTCAGAGCTCCGGGCGAGCATGAAACAAGCGATGGAGGCGGTAGCGGCACGGGCGGCAGAGGCGGTCTCACGAGAGCGCAAGCTTCATCAAGGATACCAGACTCAGACTCAGACACACGCGCTTGAGCGAGCGGGAAGGCGGTGGAGGCTAGGGCGGGCAGGGCAGGCGATAGAGGCTTGGCGGGAAGGGGCGCGGGCGGGAAGGCGGGAGAGGGGGATCTTGGCGAAGACGGTAGTGCGGATGGAGCACGGGCGGGCAGGGCGGGCGTGGGAGCGCTGGCGGGCGTACGTGGAGGAGGAGGCGCGGCTCAAGGCGAGCGGGAGGAAGGCGCTGGGGCGGTGGTGGAAGGGGAGCGCGCTAGGGGCGTTCAGCCGGTGGGCGGAGGGGGCGCGGACGGAGAAGCGGGAGAGAGGCCAGCTGAGGCGGGCGGCGGCAGCTTGGACGAGGAGGGGGCTGGCGGGGGCGCTGCGGCGGTGGGAGGAGCAGGCGGCGGAGGAGCGGAGGCGGCGGGAGGTTGTTGTTTTTGTTTTTGTTTTTGTGCTTTTCTCATTTTTTTTTAGGGACTCTGTTTGCAGATGAGTGTGAATGGGCTGGAGGAGTCTTGTTCCTTTCTCGCCCAATCGTTAGTTGATATTTCCAGTTTGCTAGTGTCTTACACTTATCGTGTGTCTCAAGAGCAAGGTAATTGTATCTTTCAATTCTTTGCTGGTACTTACCTTGGTATTAAGCCTTGCTTTCTTGCTTTGCCCTTATGTCTCGTCTCTACTCCAGCGCAGCATTTTTGTCGAGTGTCAACCGAATGGTTCCAAACAATCTCGACGATCATTCCGACGATCTCAATTATCTTCTACATCTCAACCAGGAACAACCTCAGAATGTTTCATTTCCTTCACAAGCACAGGCTCTTTCCTCCTTTCTTGCTCTTACAAGGCGTTGTAACCCAGTTTCCCGTGCGTTCCGTCAGTGGACGCAATTCTACGTCGACAGGCAGGTCTCGACGTACAAAAAGCACCTCAGTTTTATCTTCCGGTCAAAAGCGTTCAACAATACCAAGAAGCGCTTCTTTTCAGCGTGGTTCTCATTCTTCCAGGAGAATGTGCAGGAAGCTTACATATCCCACTTGTCCTTCATGAAGCGACACATGGATGTCAGGCACGAGCTCCGCCTCATCTTCGTCTCTTGGCGTCAGATGCACCTGACAGGGACCCGATCCATCTCGCAGTATACCTTCTAGAACATGGACAATGTAACGACACTCACCGATGTACATGTGTCATAATGTTTCAGTATAATAATAATGTCTCAGTCACTATCTCTCGATTTTCACTTGGCTTGTTAACAAATCATCAGTACTATCAGTCCAACCTGTCTCTGCCATATGAGTTTGAGAATAGTCACACGCGTGACGGCCATGAACATGGTGGCCGGAGAGCATAGCGTTCTTGACATGTTTTCGCTCACTCAACATCTACAATGGTCTTCAACTGCGCTAGCGCTGGTGAGGAGGAGGGCACGCAGGAAGAGCGGGCCCTGAGGACAGCTGAAAGAGGAGGAGCAGGGACAAGTGAGGTGGGAGAAAGAGGGTTCAGGCGGTACAGGATAAATTGCTACATCTACATATACATGGCATCAGAGTTTCTCATTTCGCTGGAGGGAGGCCGACGGTGTCAAAGAGCGGATCGTCCTGTCGTTCAAGTTAGACCCCATCAGCTTGCCGTCGCCTCGCATGCCTTGTCGGTAGCTACCCATCGAGCTTCGCGGACTCGATGCCTGCGAGTAGAGCAGGTAGCTTTAGAAAAGAGAGAGAGAGAGAGAGAGAGCGAGAGAGAGAGAGAGAGAGAGAGAGCGACAGACAGACAGACAGACAGACAGACAGAGACAGACAGACAGACAGACAGAGACAGAGAGACAGAGAGAGGGAGAGAGAGAGAGGGAGAGAGGGAGGGAGGGAGAGAGAGAGAGAGACAGAGAGAGAGAGAGAGAGAGAAAGAGAGAGAGAGAGAGACAGAGAGACAGAGAGACAGAGAGAGAGAAGAAAGAGGCGAGTAGAGAAGGACGGCAGAAGGAAGAAGACAGCTGGAAGAGGGAGTGACCTTCTCTTCCCCATCACAACACTGAGATCCATCGCGTCGAAGAAGAAGTGGATACAAACTCCGATGGCCAGCAGTCCCAAAATCGCTCCCAACGCCCAGCCCTGACCCTTGTCACTTCCCCTCATCAAAACAAGCGATGTTATCACTAGCAGCATTCCGTTGCCCCAGTACCCCACACACTGTCCGTTCTCGTCCGTCCCAGCCAGGGCTCGTTCTGGAGGCTGCCTGCTTTCAAAGTGAGCGAATGAAGGCTCTCATCTTGAGACTAGAACCAGAACGCGTATCCATCCTTGCAAAGGACGCATCCGTCCTGCGATATCTCAGCCGCAATGCTCAGAAGCACACAGTGATTTACCTTGCCAGGTTTGATACATGTCATGCCTGAGACAAGCACATCATGTCACAATCAGGTCCAAAAGAATCAAAAGCAACGCGACAGGGAAACAGATGTAAAGCTTCGGTCATGAGAGGCGAAAACAATGAGCAGGATGAAGAAGAGTGAGAGGTAAGGAGATGAATTAGTCACCACGACCCCCGACAGAGAAGGCGAACGAGATAGGAAAAGTGAGAGGTGAAGTAAAGATCATTACATGACGAATCACAGATGAGCTGCGTTGGAGTTGTTCCACGGGCGACGGCAGCTGGCACCCCCTTATGTGTTTTGTCAAAGTTCAAACTTGCTCAACAACACCAACCTGAATGTTCACAACAGTCGCAGACACGACAACAACCCCCGTGGCTGAAATCTGATTCGACCAGCACCGTCAATGTGGTCCAGTGCAACAGAAGAGACTAACTCCATTCTGCTGTAAAGCTTGAATGAGCCTCCCACTGCAAGACCGTGAGCTCCCACAAGTCCCTTGACCGGAAAACTTGACCTGTCCACCACAGACTCGATGGTCGTGACGATAGATTGTGCGAAAGATTCAGAGAATGTCTTGACCTCCACGTCCACAATGATGGCGAACTGCAGATGAACATCAGCTCACGGGCATGCTGAGGCTTGGGGAAGACCTGCAGGAGCTTTCGACTCCTCCTGAAGGAGACTACCTTGAGAGACTGTGAAAGCAGCGGCTCAACGGTAGGAGCAACGCAACATGGAAGGTACCAGGAAGCTCTCTCCGACATCTAGAGGAGGGGCAGTCAGCGATGAGAAGTGAAGGGAGAAGGGTGTCACCGATGAGGGGCGCAAGGATCTTGAGAAAGTGAGACTGCATGTAAGCGTCGAAGTCAGTCATGAGCAGGCCCTCGATCCGGAGCCGGATGACTGCTGTTGGCATGCTCCCGTAGACCAGCGGAGGAGGAGTACCCTGAGGAGGTGGGCTTGCTGTGGAGGAGTAGCATGGAAAGCTGTTGGAGCACATGGACTGGCAATATTGCTGGGTGTTTGCAGAGGAAGGGAATTTGCAGAGCGCGTTCAGCCAAACCGAGCACGTGCTGCAGCAGATCTTGGGGGCAGAGACTGGGATGCTTGTCAGACCGAGCGCACTCCTCTATGGCTCACCGTTGCCCAAGTCGATGGAGTATAGACCATCCCACCCCAAGCATTCCTCCTGTAAGGGAGCAAGAGCGTCCTTCACTCGAGTTTCAAACCTAGCTGAAGACTGACCTTCGATGTACAGGAGATCAGAAAACCAGCGCCGGGCACCATGTAGTTGCAACAGATGGAGGGGGAGGCAGGCAAAGCTTCTCCTCCCGCCTTGCTGCAGATCTGATGCATGGCTGCCTGACACTGGGATACGTTCATGCTCGCCAGCAAATCTTCCAAGTCACATGTCATCCAAGGCAGGCCTTCACTTTGAGATGTCACCTTGCGCCTCACGCGTATGGTCGGTCATGTCGGTCATGTTCATCCCGTCGGCGTTATGGCAGATGTTAATCTTGCAAGAAAACAAGAAATGAAACAGAGAAAGACAGAACAAAGAGTCATACGCACTTGCACTGAGTAATTCGAGCAAAACGATGACGCATTGCTCATGACAGAGAAGTTTGATTGGGCGCATTGGTTCTCCGCTCTAGCGCTCAGAGCAAGCAGGAGGAACAGGGAGGCAGGGAGGAGAGGAATGAATCTGTACGAGACGCGCATCCTGCTACGTCAAACTCCACAGCAGCAGCCCTTGAGCTCACGCACTGGTCGACGCTGGACGAGGGAAAAGCATCCAAAGGTTTGAGCTCATCCTGTCACAAATCACCAAGCTCATGTCAAGATTTTGCAGGTTACCACCGCTCAACCTTCTGATCTTAAAAGATGCACCACCCTTCCTTCTTGTCTGCAGCCTCTTTCAGCTACATTCACCTCCTTCGCCTTCCCTTCCCTCCTCTTTGTCGCCTTCCCTTCCCTGACCACTTCTCAGCCATTAAACATTCACTCCAAGTTGACCAACTCGAATCATCATCGTACATGGAGGCAGCCGGGCCCATGACCCTTATCTCTCCTGTGCTCCTCTTCTCCCATCCTGCCCCTTCCTACTTGCCCTTCCCTCCTCTCCCGCATGATCTTCGCTATCCTCCGCCCGCTTTTCAAAACATGACTATTAGCAGCCGGAGGCACCAGAAGGCCGGCCATGGGTGGGGGTCAAACCTGGGAAGTCAGGGGGTCACCGGGTGAGGAACAGTGGGGGGTGGTAGTGGCCCGGGGGGGCCTGGGCCGGGGCCCGGCAGTGCCAGAAGCTCTCAGTAGTCCCAGTCCAGTCCCGTTACCTTCACTCCTTATCATGCCTTGACTCGATTCATGCCTTTGCTCGATCAAAGCTATCATGCCTTTACTCGATCAAAGATATCATGCCTATACTCGATCAAAGTTAAGTTATCATGGCATGTCACAGCGACGGGCCGCTCACGGTCAGGTCAGGGCCCAGTCGGACTGCCGAGCAGGTCGGAGGCTGCGATGATCGGACCGTATCATGAGAGTCGCGGGGCCGTGTGACATCCAAGTACTGACTCGGAGGAGTCTGAGCCGGGCTGGCAGTGCGCAAGCATGATCAGTACCGGGATACTGTGGCACAGAAGATGATGTTTCACTTCGCCAAGCAACAATCACAAGGTTGTTTGCAACAAGACACAATTACGGACTTGTCAGTCATTTGAATAAACAAGAATATTTCATTCAACACACATCAGAGACGGACTTGCTGTCCTGCTCTGGGATGAAGATAGACAACATTGAAACTTATCTACACCATGCCAAGTCGCCTTACACCTCACTGACCCAGCAGCCGCTCACTCGCCCGCACTCCCTCCCCTCAGTTCTCGTTGGAGGCGACCTCCACAGCGACAGACTGCCCGTTCTGAGGTCCCGTGGGCTCAAAAACCTCGGACAGGACCTTGGAAATGATCTCGTTGTGCAGCCGACTCTTCTCTCTCTTCAGGTCTCCCACCACGACGGGGTAGGAGGCGAGCCCAGCTGACTTGGCGCCGAAGACGGAGGTGGAGAAGATGAGGGAGATGACGTTGATGAGGGAGGTGCTGGGAAGAGTCATGTTGATCTTGATCGAAATCACCATAGTCGGAAGAGCTTCGAAGAGGATGAGGAAGAGATCTCCCCGCAGCCTCTCGCGCGCCCTCTGGAGGTTCTCGATGATGTCGATGTGGGAAAGGCCACCGTCCTGGTGCGAGTTGGACCTGATGATGGAGAAGGCCTGGGATAGCTTTCTAGACACCTCCTCCCGCGTCTCGCCGTCGGCCTGAACTTGAGGGCTGACCTTGGACCAGCTCGTCAGGGAGGGCTTCCGCTTCTCGAAGGAGGCGCTAGCGACAGCTTCTGCGTGCTTCTTGACAAAGACGTCGTTCTTGCTAGCGTCCTTCTGAATGATGATGTAGCGGAAGTGATTCAACGTCAGCCGGAAGTTGTGCAGGGTCGAGATCCACCCGAGGATGATGAAGAGGACGCACATGGGAAACAGATCCACCAGCAACTCTTCCTTGGCCACCAGGATGAAGACGGAGATGGAGAAGGTGATCACGTCGGAAACGTTGATGATCATGTCTGTCAGCAGGCAGATCTCCTCTGAAAAGATAGTTGCTACGAGCTTGTCGAAGTCCAGCTTCCCGCTCTTGAACGCCCACATGAGGGAGGAGAGGAAGAGGAGAATGATGGAGGCAAAGGCAGCAGCAGAGATGAAGGCAGTCACGCTGGCCGCGGGCTGGGGAGGGTCGAGGATGCTCTTGCTATCGCACGAGAAGCTGTTGAGTATGTTCGTTGCCTTAAGGTCCTTGTCAAATCCCAGAGGGGCCAGGTTCGCCTTGATCAGAGGGAGCGAGTAGTTGACGTTGGTAAACTTCCCGACGGCCTTAGGATGCCCGTACATCCACCCTATGAACATGGTCATAGCAATTGCCGGGTCAGTAGGCCCGCAGTCCTGGTTCTTCTGCGCGGTCAATGCAAAGGCCTTGGGAGCGATCACGTTGAACCCTTCCGACAGCGGGTAGCAGCCGTCGTCCACTGACCCCTTGGGTAGCTCATACGCCCCATACGCGTTCATGGTGTCAGCCTTGGCGCATCGGAGGACGGCGTCCACGGAGTAGGAGACTTTCTTCCCGGTCGACGACTGGAAGTCGGCGACTTCAACGGTAGAGGGGATGTCGTTGAGGGGGCCAAAGCCAACGGCAAATCGCTTCTCGCCGAGCACGCCCATGAAGGGGGAGTTGGACAGGGAGGTCTGGCACTGCCAGGAGGTCTCGGTGAAGCTCGGGTCGAAGGCAGACAGGATCTCCGTCATGATGGCCCTGTCCTCCGATCCCACCTCGGGACAGATCATGTACATCTCCTGGTTCACGAGCTTGGCGTTGAGCGTTGGGTTCAGCGTCTTGAGCACGCCGAAGGTCGGTTTCTGTGTCTTGAGCAGCTGTGCCAGCGTCTTCCCGTCCACCACCAGCTTGTCAGTCGTTGTGTCGCACTTGGCTACCTTGGTGGCATCGCCGCAGAGGTTGTAGATTAGCCCATAGCCGATCCCAGCTGAAGGCCAGCAGTTGTCAGAGGAGGTTCGTCATGTCATGGTAGAAGTGCGTTACCTAGGGGGATGACAAGATTCGACTTTGCGCTTGTCCACGCCTGCCTTGCCCCACTCCGAACCACAGCGAAGCCTCCCCTCTGCGACAGCATCTTGGTGTAGGCCTCGTCGGACTTGGCCTCTTCGTACATCTGGTTCGCCCACGTCAGCATTAGTCGCGCGGTGCAGGCGAGCAACTCACGTTGAAAGTGACGGAGGGATCAACTCCGATGTACGTGTTACCAAGGATCCCAAGAGTGGTGAAGACAACAGGGATCGTGTGCCCGTCGATGATCTTGACGTTGTTGTTGTCGTAGGCGATTACCCCGTCACACTTGATGTCGGCCATGAGGCGGGTCAAAACTGTGTTTTGAACGATCTCGGGTAGCGGAGAGAAGCCATGGACTCGAGCCAAGTTCCTCGCAACGTCCGACTTGTGGAACCATATCCAGAAGTTGACCGTCGCCTTGCGATGCTCGCAAGTGGCTCCCTTCCTTAGCGTATTCTTGCGCATGACCAGGTAGGTGTACCCCACCATCGGCCATGCGAGTGAACCCTGGGCGTTCATGACGTTGGCCGTGAGACGTTCAGGAGCATCGCCGTTGTTGCCGAAGTCTGCCATGACACACGCATGTCAGAGTTCCGATAGCCACTAGTCCCATACGCCTCACCTAGACCCATCTCGGCCACTGCGAACTCAACGGCTGCTGCTGATGCTCGGATCGGAGTGGTGGACCCAGGCTTGAGGATCATGGCTGACTTGAGCTTGAGCTTCAGTGCTACTCCCAGCACTGAGTAACCCACGGCGTAGTCGGTCGCGAGGACGCCTGAAGCAACTCCGTTATTCTCGTCTCGATACTCGTAACGGGCCGTTGAGTTCCAGACAGGCTTTGAAGAGGTTCCGATCTGCTTTGCAAAGTATGCCGAGGCCCCTGCGAGAGACTTCTTCCAGATCTCTGTAGTCCCTGAGTCCTCATTGCGCACAAAGACGATGATCGACGACTTGATCTTCTTGAGGACGTCAGCTCCAGCCTGATTGCCCCCAGCCACGTTGTCGTTGTAGATTGTTGTGTCGTTCCAGTTCCTGTCAGCAGTCAGTCTTTGAGATCTTTCAAGGCGCAGGTCTGCTCACTTGATGGCTCCAGAGAAGATCTTGGCCACTGTCTCAGGTGTCAAGATCAAGTCCAAGGCTCGCTCCTCGAGCTCAGGAATGTTGTAGATTGGAACCACCGCTCCTGCTACTGAAGGGTACATCTGCAAATCTGGGTAATCGGCATACTGCTGGGCATTCAACAAGGAGTCGGATCCAGCAAAGTCAATGTTGAAGGGAGGACCGAAACCGTCGTCTTTCATCTGATCCCCTTGTGTAATTCGTTTCTTTCCGCCTCCTGACCCTGTCGGGAGGTAGGACATGGTGACAGTGGGTTCGACGAACTGATAGGCGAACATGGCATCCATATACAGCTCCTCCGGGAATGTTGCTCCAGCAGCATAAATTTGCGTTGCTGTGGAACTGTTGGCTACAGCTTCTGCTCGCACTTCCAGGTGCAAGAAGTCTACGAGGGCAAGGCTGAAGAGGAGGAGGGAACAGATTCGTGTCCGAAACATGATGCTGATAAAGGAGCGAGGGACAACTTGATCAAGGTGGAGAGGAGCAAGATGCGAGGAGCAAGAGTCCCTGGGATGGCAGATATAGGGTGGGGGGAGCGGGGGGATTGGATGGGAGGGACCGTCGTAGTGATCGGACAAAGGGGCGTGGAAAAGTTTTTTCTGGGGGGTGGGGGGTATGCTGAAGCATAATCAACTACCCCATACTAGAACGATGAAACCAGGGGTGTACATGTTTATTGGATGGACTGCCATGTGGGGGGGTGCCATGGTCATTTGTAGAGCCCCCCCACGGGGTAGGGGGTGCACGGAGCGGTCAGAAACAGGGGTGGTCAAATCACGACTCTGCTCCTTTACAATAATAATAGAGCCCGCTCCCACGAAACGACGTACGCATCTTCGAAACCGAACGATTTCGCGTTTCACGAGATTCATAACCCTACAAGTGATGAGAGATTACTCGGTACTCACTACCATGGGCGTAGTTGAGTAAAACAGCGGGTACCGGGAAGTTAGGTGTAAAAGTGACAAGTAACCACGGAGTGCTCATTTGTACCCAGCAAACGTCAAAGCACTTTTGTATGATAGAAACTGATCTCCCGGTCAACTTTGTAAACTCAAGTCAAGCGAGTTGAGTAAACTTGAAAACTGCATGAAACCGTTGAACCTGACACCGTGACTGACTCAGGGCTTTTCCCGGGCCGATCATCGGATCAGGCTTCTCACTGCGGCCCAGGGCAGTGACTCTCACGCCGTGACGGGCCCCGGGCGGCCTGACTCGTGACTCTGTGAGCTCAGCCGACCCGGACCCGGGGCGGGGCGGCCCGCGGCGGGGCGGGCTCACTGATCGGACGGACATGGTCAAGCCCCCGGAGTACGGTACGGTCCCTGCCGCGTTGCCGCCGCAGTCACCGGTCACCGGCCCGGCCCGGCCCGGGCGGCACTGGGCCGCGCGGCCCCGCCCGGGGCCGGGCCGGCCCATCATGATTCGAGCCGGCATATGATGATCCGCCGCGCGCCGGCCCCGATCCGATCCAACTTGCCTCCCGGACTCAGCCGGCGACAACTGGTTCCGGCCCGGGGTCACCCGAGTCACCGTCACGTGCCGCTTGCTGAGCCCGGCTAAGATCGGACACTATGATATCGTGTCACGTACTACGGTACGGTAGCCGGCGCCCGGCGTCCCGGAGTCAGTCCGGCGGGGGCCCCGGCGCGGTGACGGTGACTGCCCGTCACGGCGTCCGGTCGGACCGCCCGGCCCGGGCCCGGCCGGGGCCGGGTGGCAATCTCAGGAGTCAATCCGTTACGGTCAGTGCTGGAGACCTGATTCACAGACGAGGTCCTCATGGGTGGGGTTCGTCATAATGACGTCAAGGCTTCGATTGCGGGGGTGGGTGGACAAAAAGAGGGGTGGGGTACCTCCGGCCCCGGAAAACTGGAGAGGAGAGGCAAGACAAGGTCGATCGATGGTGGGGAGCGGGAAGGGAACGAGGACAGGAGAGCTGAAGCCGTTGACGGGAGAGGCAGAAACAGCTGCTAAGATCGTTAGGTTTGCGCTCTGAGGGCTCAGAATGCACTGAACTCTCCGGTGAGGATGGCAGACCGACCGACGACCAACGTGCCCAATCGCGACTCCTCTGGATACCCGTCTGCTGCAGCTTCCGCCTCCCCGGAGCCATTTCCCTTCCCCATCCCTTTGCCCTTCTTTCCATTCAATCAGTCCCCAATACAACAGCAGCCCCTCGAACGACCTTCCAGTGATTTCGAGAACAGATGTTTGTCTTGTGGCAACGTGTTACCTCCAGGGGGCAACGATATCTCCTGTGAGTTCTGCTTAACAGCCTCCGAAGGCTTCGCGAACAGCTTCGAGCATGACATCCCCGGCGCCTCTCATAGCGGGATCATCGATCCTCGCTCATTGAAGAAGCTCCCCGAACCGCCCCAGGCGAGAGCAAAGCTTCCGTCCATTCCTGAAGGAGCCAACCGAGTTCGTCTGGCTGCTGCTGCTCCCGGCACGAGAGACGCAGCAACCCATTCTGTGCGCGAGCCAACTCAGGAGCATCATGATGACAGGGACAGGGAAGACGTCAAGGGCTCTCGCCCGACAGGCAAAGATTTGACGCCAAGGAAGCGTTCCTTGTTTGAGTACGTTGGAATTGCTGCCTTGGCCTTGACTCTTGTGCTCCTCCTCAGAAGGTGGAGGAGATGAATCCTCTTTCTCCCCCTCTTCCTCTCTTCTCTCTGTCGTGAGCTCGAGAGCTAGAGGGTAGTACCTCTTTCTCCTCCTTTCTTTAGCTCAGGGGCTCGGTTTCGAAATGAACAGAGCTGTTCAACTTCTTCGATGTACCTCCTCGCCTGTATAACTACCCGCATCCTCGTCGCTTGTTCCACCCAGTGCCCCTTCCCATCTTCCCCCTTCTCATCTTCTTCCTTCCCATCTTCCCCATTCTTCCTTCCTCCCCTCCTCCCATGTGCCACACGTTAGCAGAGAGCCATGGCTCGGCCGATCACTGCGAGAGACCGAGATGTGCGTTTGGCTAGCGATGAAGTATGTTTATGTACAGAACTGCAAGGAAAATTCTAAGAGGGGCAGGTCCAGGAGCAGGTCCGAGGACAGAGAACTTGTAGGGCAGATCTCTGCTTCTGCCCAGCTACAGCTGAATCCTTGAATACCCTACAGCAACGCTGCTTCCCGTCGGGAACGAGATAGGGACACATCGCCTGAGGAGGAGGATGAGGAGGAGGAGACGTCTTCTTGGATTGAGAGGGCTCACCGGCGGCAGAACCATGCTTCGTCGTCCTGCAACTCACTCGGCGCTTTCTTCCACCTGGTTGCTCTTGTTAATGCGATTGAGCGAGGGGATGAGTGAAGGGAAGGAGGAGGAGGAGGGGTAGGGTGTGTGTTGTGTGTGTGTGTGTGTGTGGAGGGTAGTTGACCGAGGAGGGGGGAGTAGGAAATGGAGGAGATAGAGGCAAATTAGTGGTGTAGGAACTTTGCATCACCGTTGGCATGTTGCACACAACTTCAAGCGGCTGGCAGGCGACTTCTGAGATTCTTGGCTCTCAAACTTCCGTTTGTTTGCTTCAGCTCTCTTCTCTTCGTATCTCTTTGCTGACTCGTTCAACGACTGTACAAAACCACCTGTCATCCAGCTTGCTTCGAGCTTGTCCCACCTACCTCCACCAGTGCCGTATTGTCGGAGGCGTCGAAATCGATGTCGGCGACTGGAAGGTCAAACTTCATGCAAGTGTCAAGGCACTGCACCTCAACATGACAACTACGCACATCAACACTCCAGAAAGCCTCCAGCTTGATAGCCTCCTTGTCAAAGTTTTCTGTGACTTTCGCCCACTGCTCAGGCTTTACCTAACAAGATCGGCTCGTCAGACTCTTCCAAGTCTCCCGCTGGGCTCACATGCACTACAGAAGGGTTGGGGTTGCAAGTCTCCTTCAACGCAAAGCTGACAGCCAGGCAGGAGGGCGGAAACTCTGGGATGCGGGCCTGAAGAGGATCGCTGAGCTACGGGCATGAAGGAGGGGAGTGATTCAGGCAGGAGGGAAGTACCTTGGGGATCGAAGTTTGAAGAGGAAAAGAGTCGCGGGAGGAAGCAAGGACGACGTCGTTGACACTGGGAGGGTGTTAGGACACCACCATGGCGGTTCGCGAACCGCCATGCCCATGTCTCACACCTGTACTCCACGGCCTCCAGCAGAGGGAGGGGACAATCGGCTCCAAGTTGATTGCTCAGCGACAGCATCCAACATTCTTCCTCCTCCATTTCTGAGGAGGAGAACTGGCCGTGAGCTATTACTGGGCTCGATGATTCTCCGCCTTCTTTCTCCTTAACGGCTCTCTCCTCGTCCGTATCCCTACCAGTTCCTTCCTCTTTGACTTTGACATCTTCTTGACAGTCGTCAGTCTTATGTACAGCCTTGTTGCTTGAGTCGTTGGGTCCAGCAGAGCCGCTTCGTCTCTCGAGCTTGCAGGAGAGCTTCAGCGACATGCTCCTCGTGAACTTGGGTATCCTAACGCCCAGGACCGCCATGACCCCGCGCATGACCTCATCGATAGGCGCGTGGACCTTGAGGCAGGCGTGCCTGTCCTTGGGCGTCTTCTGCAGGTTGCACAGGACGAGCTTCCCGCCATTCTTCACCGTGATGAGCGGGAGCTCCGAGGCAGGACGGATCCTCAGCGAAGTTCCCATGCAGATGCACAGGTCGCTCGACCGCAGGGCATCCTCAGCCGCCTGAAACTCCTGCTCCGGCAAAGCGTCCTCCCAGTCCAGCAAGTTGTTGCGCAAGGCACCACCGCAGCCCGGCCGCTCGCACTCCCTCCCTGTCTTGCTAAAGCTGATTCCTCCGACATCGAAGTCTCTCAGGTACTCCCATCCGCAGATCTCGCAGGACTCGATGAAGAGGTTGCCGTGTAGCTCTGCTAGGTTCTCACGAGGTAGACCCGATCGAAGATGAAGGCCATCCACATTCTACGAGCAACCAACGAGATGTCATGAGCACGAGAAAAGCAGCAAACATCGAGGGGGCAGGCAAAACAAGAAAAGATAGAAAGAGAGAAGGGGATTTGTAGAACGAATTGAGGGAGAGGATGAGGGGTAAGGGATGGGAGGGATAAGGCACCTGACTGATGACAAGATCAACCATCTTCGCTTGCACTAACCCCAACAACGCCATATGCGTCAGGGTCGGCTGAACAGTCTCAAAGCTTCTCGAAGCTGGAGGAGGAATTCCTTTCTGCTCAAATTCTAAGGAAAAGCATAACAACAATTGATGAACCAAGCACATCACATCACACCACACCACACCACATCCCTGCCGACCCCATCTCGTCTCGTCTCATCTCATCTCATCTCGTGTCTTCCAACAACTTCGAACAACCTTCAAGACAATCTCAAGACACATCTCAACCTTCTCTGCCGTCCAAACTCCATTGGGCCCTCGGAAGTCAGAGACGCCCGCACTCGTTGAGATCCCAGCGCCTGTCAGCACCACGCACTTCTTCGAGGTTCTGATCAAGTCGGCGAGTTTCAAGATCTTGGATGCTGTTATCTCCTCTTCCTCCGCATGCTCTGGAAGGCCCAGCCCTCCTCCCTTCTCCGTACGAGGAGTCAACCTGCTTGCGTAAGAGCTTGCTCCGAAGTCTGCTGGCATGACTGATGCAACGTGATTTCACAGCAAACTGAGCTCACTTTCCCCACTACAAACTGAACGTGCTCAGATCACCTGCATTTTTCCCAACGTTCAAGAGATCAAACTATCTTTGATGCATCACAGTGGAGGTGGCATGAGGGCATCGGTAGGTCAACCTGTCTGACAGTTAGAAACAGAGCAGGAGATACGCATAGTCTGTGGTTTCATATATTCATGTTCCATCACCATCCCAGTCTGTCGTCAAATCTACGCCTCATGATAAGAAATGTACTTCATCTTGCTGAGCAAAAAACAGGAGATTTCCTTTCTTCTTTTCCTTCCTCTCCAGCTTATCACGGAAGAATTGTTTTTTGTCACCTGGACTCACAAAACCTCTTCTGAAACTTGTGACCGATACTTGGAAAACTGCACCATTCGATAGTTCTAGCTTGATTTCCCTCCGAGCTCAAGCCATCTTCTGACATTCAGACGAAAACAGAATGACTCCTCCCAACCTTGTTTCCCCGATCACTGCCATCTGTTCTCCTCTAGAAAACCGTGACCCTCAAACGCTCCTCAGATCTTCACTTCCACGAACACAGAATATCCTTGCATCGCCTCTAGTTTCTATCTTCGCTCGTCTTCTTGGTTGCAAACTGTTCTCATCTCTCCTCGTTCTCACTCTAACTCTCTCCTCTCTCTCTCCCTCTTCCCCTCCATGTTCTCTTCCTGCCACCGCCAACCCACTACTCCATGGCTTTGCTGCTGCTCTCCGGTGGCATTGTGCATTCACCACCCCACCCAAGTCCTAACAACCCATCTTTGTACCCCACCCTTTTTCTTACCACCCCTCATTTGACTTGATAAATCACCCCTACTTTATACTTAATTTCTCACCCCACCCTTCCTGATTTCTCTATGAGACCTCAGCTCAACCCCTACTACTGGGATGGAGACCCACCCCCACCCTATAGATTCCCACCAATTCTTACTACTCTGGCCTTGGAATACCACCCCTGGTACATCACCACCCTTCTATTTCCTACCAAACTTGCCTCCGGCACCACCCCTCCTTATCACCACTTGACCTCCAACCTTTTGTTTCACTACCCCACCCCACTTACACCTCATGTTGTTTCTCCCGGGTCGGTAGTTCTGAATGGATACTAAATTGTAACTTAATCTCGATGAGTAAACATTATATTGGTCTCACCCAGCCCGGAGTCCGGGCCTCAGGCCCCGGCCGCCCGGCCTCACCCAGTGGCACTGCCAGTCTCACAGGTCCCCCGGGCCCCGGCGTTGCTGAGGCCACTGGCACTGAGCTGGACGCGGCCCGGCGGCGGGCCCACCGGCGCCGCCGGGACAGGGAGCCTACCATGACCCGGTCCGTCGTGACTGAGCAGGGCGCTGACCGTCGACTACCCGGTGACCGTAAGTTGAAGCCGGCCCGCCCCGGGCCGTGTCGCCGGACTCGGAAAACTTGAATGTCTCCGACTCCGACCGCTGAGGCTCAGGCGTCAAGTTATGGACAAAATTTGAAAATACAGAGAAACATTTGAACTTAGATTTGTAAAATCGTCGGGGCACAGGGCTCAGTTTCAAGAGTTCACTCAACTATTTTCAAATTTAGTGCCGCGGGTTTTAGTTATGAGGTACACCCATCGTCTCCATTCGTGTACCCCTGGTGGGGATACCACCCACCTTACTGTGATGCATTAGATGTGTAACACCGGTGATCATTTATAACAAAATCAGCCATATAAGGGGGGTACTGAGAGAATGTGGAAGGCACACACGGGTGTTCTTGCATAACCCACCATTGAAAGTTGTCCACCCTACCCCTACGATTTGGCCAAGACTTTGACTGCTGGTACAATTGGGGGGGCCTCTCGCTACCCTACCCTGCTGAAGACGTCAAAGGAGGGGTGGTGCTTCCTCTGGCGGCGCAGTACGGTAGAACAGCGCAGGACGAGGACTGTCATAGCAGAGAAGAATCAATTCACTTGGAAGGGATAACTTGTGGATATGATGTGGATGTTTTGGGAGGATGAGAGGGAGCAGTTGAGCTGCAGATGTTTTCGTGATGGAAAGGAGTTGCTTTGAGACCTTTCTGACGTTGTTTCACTCGCGAAGTTGGGAATTGCTCTTGCGAGAAACGCATGAATATTGAGATGGGGATATTTGTGGATAGCTGCGTGTGGTTGATTTGATAGATCATTCAGCTGTAACACGAGATGTGCAACCCTGCAACGTAGTGCCGAACAAAGCAACGAAAACGATGTTTGAAGTTGCCCCCTGGATAGTCCTCAAATCGATTTCTGTGCCAGATTTCATTTGACTTTGATGTAGATCTTGGACGTCATTGAGTCTTAGATGGCGTCTCCTTCCACCATTTCTCCATCATGGAGAGACAAGATGCGGAAACTTCTGCAGGAGGATCTTGAGAGCTTGTACAGCAAGGCAGACAGCCCGAGGGCCATGGTCCCAGACGCTGTCGCCTCAAACGAGCTGCAAGACTACGATGGAGAAGGTCTTGAGAGGATGAACCATTCAGACCAGCACAAGCTGGAAGATGAGTACGGATCTCCGATTCCGAAACTCTGGATGAAAGGTGAAACCCCGCGGGTGAAGTCGGCAGAGAGGTCTAGGTTATCGAAGCCGGTGGAGCTGGGGAGTGACTACCCGATGCCCTCAACAGAAGTGACGGGCCACAATGTCGGGATAGGGCTGAGGCCGATGTGGGATCAAGAGAAGGGACGGTGGTCTTTGTCTCCTTACAGGGAGAAGCGAGGGGAGGACACCAAGAGCTTGCAGTTCACTCCGACTAGACCAGCCAATAGCAGTATGAACAGGGAGCCAGTGCTGCAGGCTCATGAGGGGAGCTGGGACCTGAAGCCCAGCGCTACTCCTCCTGACAGATCGTCGTGGGCTGCATGGAAGAAAGACGCGGGGATGTTCTATCAGGATACTTTGTCTGCTGGCCGCCTGACGTCGAGCGCGGTCAAGGCCGAGGTGAATATTTTCTCTAGTGGGGTCAACAACCGGCCCAGCTCTTCATCCAACGCTTCCTACCAGACACCATACTCGTCCAACAAGGGAGGGCCCGGGATCAATTTTGATCCTCCCCATGTTAGCGGCGCCTCCAATGCTGCGACGTTCTTTCAGGCTCCGCAGAGCGTCATCAGCCCGAACAGAGTCGACCCAAGGAATCAGCTGGACACGAGCTTGCAAGAAGGTCCGATCCTTGTGCAAGGGACTTCGATACCTGATGGCCTTGCAGAGCTGAAGAGGACTTGCGAGGACTTGGAGGTGTCAAGAGCGACGATTGAAGTCCAGAAGGAACTGATCGCTAAGATGGAGAACCGAGATTTGTGAGTTTGTGGTGGAGTGGACTGTTGACACTGCTCTGATGCTTTCCTCGCCTGTCAGTGAGCACAGGAGTGCGATCGAGATTCTGAATCAGGAGAACAGCCGATTGCAAGCTCAAGTATGAGAAGGAGGAGACCGTGCGCTTGTCTCACACACGAGCTAGGTCAAGCGAATCTCAGAGAGTGAGGGCGTGTTGTCCAGCCTGAAGAAGCAGCTCGAAGACGCTCAGCAAGTCAAGGAGGTTCAGGTCAGTCCCTCCAAGGATGTGGAGGTCATATGGTGATCAGAGGGCAGGAGCGGAAGATTCGAGAGTTGAGGTTCACCATCGAGGGGTTGGAGAACGATCTGTCCGTGGCGCAAGATCGATTACAGGTTCTGTCGGCCTGTCCCGCGCCATGGTGGCTGACGTGTATCTAGGCGTTGGAGCTGGAGAAGGAGGAGATCTGCGAAGTGATGCAGCAGCAGACGGTGATCCTGAAGCAGCTGAGCGCAGAGGACAAGTTGAAGGTGAGGGAGTTTGACAGCCGTTACAGTTTCTATCCCCCCCTGTGCCACATCTCCTTGCGATCGTGACTCAGCTCCATCCAGGAAGTAGAGCGTACGAGGCTGGCGGCTGAGGTGGAGGAGCTGAGGACGAAGGTGAAGGACAACGTATGAGATTCTCGCTGATACCCCTCAGGCCGAGGCTCAGTCGAGTTACGACAGCAACATGGTGGCGCAGGTGGGAAGATGAGAGCGGGAGGGGCTCGGTGACGGTTGATGAAGGTTTCGCGTCTTGAGGCACAGAACGAGGAGCTGAGGGGCCAACTCTCTGCATCCTCCGCCAGCAAGGCGGAGTTGGAAGGGCTGAGAAAGAAGGTTTGAGTGTCGTTGCGAGAGAGGAGGATGCTGATGGAGTTACAAGATATCGGAGCTGAGGGAAGTACAAGCAGAAGATGAGAAGGTCAGGAGGAGGAGGAGGAGGAGGAGGAGGAGGAGGAGGAGGAGGAGGAGGAGATGTGGGCGGGATCGAACTGTCAGTGGGAAGGAGAGGAGGGAGGGAGACGCTCAATGCTCATGCTTGCGTTGATGAAGGTTCAACAAGAGCTGCGATCAGTGTTGAAGGAGGCGAACTTTAAGATTGAAAGTCTGGACAAGGCATTGAAGGTGAGACGAGAGGCGGAAGAGGAGGCGAGTCAAGGAGACGAGTAGGAGGAGAGCAGGAGCAGGAGCAGGAGCAGGAGCAGGAGCAGGAGCAGGAAGAGTCATGGCTGAAATACCTCCAGGCTTCAAACAAAGAAAGGGATGCGCTCAAAGAACAGTGAGTGTTGTTCTTTACACGACCTGCCTGCTCCCATGTTGTGAACGACACAACAGGTTGGCGGAGCAAGCTTTGATGGGCGAGAAGGTCAAGTCAGCGAGCAAGAAACCCTTGGAACATCATGCGAACGGGCTCGCTGGGTCCTCCGACCCGTTCAAGCTCGAAGTCCTTCACAACGAAAGAGTGATCGAACAGGAAGAGAATTCCACCATGCAGGACTCCCTCGACAAGGCAAGCAGACCTACCCCCTCCCTCCCCTGCCTGCCTGCCTGCCTGCCTGCCTGGCCCTCCCTCCCTCCCTCCCTCCCTCCCTCCCTCCCTCCCTCCCTCCCTCCCTCCCACTGCACTGAACCTGCACGTTGATTTCCTCTCGTCTTCTCTCTCCTTCCCCTCTTACCTTTGGTCTAGACATCCAAGTCCAACACCAACTCAGCATGTGCTCCATTCAGCTGTAAAAGTCTGTTCATACACAGGGTGATCCTCCCTGTCACCCCCTCCCCTCCCTCTCCTTTAGTCCTGCTGTTCCCCTGCTCCTTCACGACTGCACAGCTCCTTTCCTTTCCTTTCCTTTCCTCTCTCTCTCTTCTTCTTCTTCCTTTCCTTTCCTTTCCTTTCTTCCTTCCTGCCTGCCTCTTCTTCCTCCTGCTCCTCCTCCTGCCTCTCACTCATCCCCTACAGGACGCGCATCTCTCTGTTGCCGGCAGCTTCGACGGTACCCCGAAGCAAGCAAGGGACAAGCTCTTCCGCAACACCTCGACCGTCAATTCTCCTCCCAACGGCAAGACCGGTTCCGCCCTCGTCGCTGCTCAGCTCACGTTCGTCGACAACTCGCTGCGGCCCAAGGAAGGGATGGCGGCGTCTGTACCCAACGAGGGCTCGTCCCCGGGATCTTCTTCGGAGGAAGACCTTGTAGTGGAGGTCCTTCCCTCTCCCTCCTCTCCCCTCCCCCTTCCTCTCCCTCGTTTGCTGCTGCTGCTGCTCCTCCTCCTCCTCCTCCTCTTGTGACTGGTGGGCAGGTGATGACGGACTTCGCTACGGTCGATGGCAGCGGCGTTGTCTTCTCCGCAGGAGAACAGTAAGTCACCTCGTCCCTTCCTGATTTCTTTCTCCTCCTGGCCTCCTCCTCCTCCCTTACTCCTGTGGCAGATGCATTCTGGTCAAGGAAGGCACCAAGGGATGGACTCTACTGTTGACAGGTACGACGATGAGGACGGGGAGGGAGGGGAGGCGAAAAGAGGAGCAGGAGAACGAGAAGTCAGTGGGGTAGAGATGGTGGTGAGGGTGGTGATGATCAGTTGTGGAGGAGGAGGAGGAGGAGGAGGAGGAGGGAGGGCGGGAACGCGAAGGAGGGAAGGAAGGGTCACGCGTGGAGCAGGAGGAAGGGGCTCGAGGGGATGGGCTCCGAGCTCCAT